AGTGCCTACTATGTGCCAGGGGTCCAAGAACCAACACCCTCTTGGGTCCCCATAGCTTGCCACCGGTGCAGCCCTGCCTCACCTCCGAAGGAAAACTCTGGACAGGCATGTTCAGACCACCATGGAGGGAGGGGAAGAAAAGAAGTGAAGCAAATCCTTCAAAGGTGGACAAGCATCTCCCCGGGGGAGGCTGGGAGGTCAGTGTGCAGACGGGCCAGCTCCTCCCCTAATACAGAGAGGCCCCTCCCCCCCTCCCCCCCCCCCCGCAATACCAGGCAGGGCAAAGGGTCCCTGAGGGTAGGAGAGGGGGGTCTCAGTGGATACGGGAGGGGGGCGGAGTGTAAGGGATGTAACTCTCCCCCACCTTTACACCATATAGTCTGTATAAAATAAATTCAATTTTAAAAGAAAGCCCAGGTCCCTACGTCCCCAGCCCCTACCCCCTTTCTGCCAATCTTTCTCGGTGGGGTCTGTCCCTGGGCTTTAATCAGAGTCCCTAAGCTTCTCTTTGCATATTTATTGCATTCTTCACCCACATCCTTGGCTTGGTCTCTGACCCTCTCCTCTTCCTGCCTCACAAACCCTTTGGAAGTGGGGGGCGGAGTGAGGAGGGGAAGCGCGCTCAGCTGCAGAGTAACCAGAGAGGGGGGTGGTGAAGGCCGGGGGTCTGTGTCACATCAGCCTGCAGGACTCGGGGACGAGGGCGGATGTCTGGAAGGGGCGCTGGACGAGGTCTGCTCGGCAGAAGAAGGCGGAGGTTGGGGGGTCTGGGCGCTCCCAGTAATGATCAGAGCCGGGCTGTCCCGCAAGGGAGTGAGCTCCCCTTCACTGGCAGCATGCAAGCGAATGCTTGAGGTCCCCGAGCACGAAGTCCAAGTGTTGTTGGCAGGGGTTTTGTTCTGAAAATGATTCTGAGTCCAGCCTCTTTGTTTACGTGGGGGGAAATGAGAGCCACGGAACGGGAGCGACCGGGAGAATTCGAACCCACTGAGGGAGGGCGGTACGGGGGGGACGCGGGGCAAGCAGCGGCACTCCATCCAGCCCGGCTCTGGGGAGACCCGGGAGCGCTTACCGCGGACGCCAAAAGGTCCGGTGGGCTCCAGAGTCGGCTTCTCACCCCAAGTCACGTCAGGGAGCAGCCACTGACGCACAGGCAGAAGACAGCCCGCGTCTAACCCGGGAGCTTCTGGGGCTCCTGGTGTGGGGGAATCTGTGACTGGGTCAGGAATCCATGGGGGTTTGCCTTTCCTTGTGTCCCCAGCACTCAATGCAGTGCCTGGCGCACAGTCGGCGCTTAATAAATGCTCGTTGACTTGCCTGAGAAGCCTCGAGGCTATGGTTGGAGGAGGGAGCCACTTGCCAGCCTCCCATTAGCTCCAGCTCTCAGCCTGGGGCTTTCTTGGCTTCACTTCGCGTCTCCTGAAAGCCAAACTCCTTACCAGCGGCTGTCTCGGCTTGTCTCCTCTCTTATTTCATTCTCGCCTCTCCTCCCGGTGTCATCTGGCTTCTTTCTGTAGCTTTTTCTCCACCCCCATCCTTGACATGGTCAGAACACTCTCCCTGCCACCTGCTTATAACACTGCTCTGTCCCCGTCCTTATGATACCTCTCTGACCAGCTCTTCTCAGGCATCTCTGCAAGATCAGGACAGCGCAGATTTCCAGTTGACACCTTCAATGCCAATTTGTCCACCTCATGGCTCTGCCCGCTGGGGGACCAAGTGGCACAAATCTGATGCAGCCTCCAAGGGCCTTCAGAAGCTAGAGCTCAGCACATCTTCATATGACATGGACCCAAGGGCCTGCCCTGCCCTGGGCACTCTCTAGCTTCTCAGTGTAATGCATGGTGCCCAGAACTGACCACAAATTCCAGATGGTCTGACAGGCCAGAGGGCAGGGGGCCAATCCCATCTTCCTAGGAACTCTGCCTTCTTGAAAACAACCTAAGATCTCCCTGGCATTCGGAGCAGCCACACTCCTATAGAGTGTGCAGTCCACTCATACCCTGTGTGTAAACTCTGAAGGACTTATGATTAAAAATGCTGCCCACCCCCAGAGGAAGAACTGATGGCTACTGAATACAGATTGAAGCGGACTTTCCAAGCTTTCTTTATTTTTCTTGAGGTTTTTTTTGTCTATGCTTTCTTTCACACCATGACTAATATGGAAATGTTCTGCATGACTGCACATGTATAACCTATATCAAACTGTTGCCCTCTCAATGTGAGGGGTGGGGAGGGAGGAAGGGAGAGAAAGCTTAAAAAGGAATGTTAAAAAGTGTCTTTACGTGTAACTGAGGAAAAATAAAATACTAAATAAATTTTAAAAAAAGAAAGAAAAATCCCATGTATATCAGTCAGTCAGTCAATAAATGCTGACTGATTCTGTCCTATCTGTGTGAGCTTTAAGTTCCCTACAGAAGTTTAGGAGTCTAGTAAAAAATAGCAGACCCAGGAAACGGGCCATGTTGAGCGGGAGCCATCACGACATGACAGCAGCCAAGTGAGAGATCCCCGGTGATCCATTGTCTCCCACAGAGAAGCTTCCATGCAGACACCCATGAGGAAAGTGACCACAAGGTCCATCCCCTTTGGCCCAGGGATCTCAGCGCTTGACACATATGGGCAACAAGGTCAAAGACTGAGAGAAGGGGTCCACAGGCACCCAGATGTTTCTGGCAGCGTTTCCTGGAGGAGAAAATCTGGAATGTCTCCTGACAAGTAGGTGCTCTTTGATTGGAGAATGATTGGAACAGCCTGTGCTGGAAGAAACAATGAGGCACCACGAGCCCAGAAAAGCCCAGGGAGACTTAGGCAGAAGGATGCAGAGTAGGGTAAGAGAGTCAAGAAGACAGCACACACAAGACTATAGGCTATGAATGAAGAGGACTGGACAACAGAAACACCTGTAATCACGACCAAGCCTGCCCCTGAGGAGACGAGAGAAAGCACTTGCTTTCCCTCTTTGCAAAGGTGGGGTGCTTTGGGTACGGAACGCTGCATGTGCTGTCAGCTTTGATCAATGGCTTCGTTACTTAAGTTGAATTGCTCTTTTTCTTTTTGATCCTTTGTTACAAGGGTTGGCTGGGGTGGAGCAGGGGAGAGGGAAATATTGGGAATTAAAGGTGATATAAAACCAAAATATTTCAATAAAATATATTTTAAAAGAAGATTCAGGCCAAGCGGTGAGAGAGAGTACCAAACCCTCCATCTCAAGGACAGCGGCATGAAAATTCCACTCCAGTGATCTCCAGTGACAACGAAGCTCAGGGTGGGGCCTGCGGTGGCCTCATAGGTGAGCAGAAGCTGGGTCTGCCCAAACACTGACACCACAAATCCACTGCTGCCCCTCCCAGCCTTTCCAAAAGAAGAGCTTCGTCCTGCGGGTGGAGGGGCCCAGGAGCTTCCTGAAAGAACTGTCTGTCTCAGCATCATAGAATCCAGTGGTCCGTGATCTTCAGCTCTAGCCATGGCGAGATATGGACAGCACCACTGGCTTCCTGTGGGGAGATTACTGCGCTTTGAAAAGAAAATTAAGTGGGATCGGCCTACAAGCAGCTTGGTGGAGCTGTGGAGTCTATGAGCAACAGACAGTATATGGAGGCCACAGTGGAGAGAGGAGCGTCCAGATGCAGCCTCAGACTCCCGACTGCTGTGTGACTGGTGGAGTGACTTCACCGCCGGACGCCTCAGTGTCTTCGTCTAGAAGACAGAGATAAAAACAGCACCCATTAAATGAGGCAGAGATGTAGCCCACTGGATAGAACTGAGTTCAAATCTAGCCTCAGATATTGGCTAGCTGCATATCCCTGGGCAAGCCATCGAAGCCTAGTTTGCCTCAGTTTCCTCATCTGTAAAATTAGGATAATAATAGCACCTAGCTCCTAGGGTTTCTGTGGGGACTCAATGAGATAAAAATGGTAGTGTTGAGTGTGGTGCCTTGCACACAGTAATGCTGTATAAATGTCAGCCGTCATTTGTACAATCCAGTGAAAACCTTAGAGTGCTACATAACTGGCAGCTATGATTAATCGTTTTCATCATCATCATCATCATCATCGTCATTAACCACACTGCGAAGAGTTCAAGATGTCCTGACTTGTCTGATAGCCAGCTGGTGGTTTTCTGTGTTATACCTGAGTCCTATCCCATAGAGAAAAGAAGGCTGCTATCTGTTTGAGGGCATGCCCTGAGGAGTTTGTGGCCCCCACCCCCCTTGCCAGCAGCCCATGAAGAAGGAGGTCAGTGACGTGAGCTGCCTCGGGGATGCCTTCATCGCGATGATCTCGGAGTATTTTGTGAAGACGTTCCAAGCACGCCATGAAGGTTTCCTTTGTCCAGAAGATACTGGTCTGAAGTAGTGAAGTGACAGGGTCTTGGTCACCCAGTGCCATGACTGAGGAGTGACCTTGAAAAGACCTTGTCCCATAAGAAGACTCTTTTTCTAGGATTGGGTGGACACAGCCAAGCATGTAGGGAAAGTGTGGACACCATCACTCACCTTTTCGGTGAGCCTTCTGGTGGGTGCATAACAGGGAAGTAGCAGAAATAGAACCCTTGGGCATCAGGTAGAGGTATCAAGTGGTGTTGAGGACCAGGCTAACTGCCTCACAAAACACAGGGGATGTCTTTCTGGATGATGCAGTTTATTCCCATAGCCACTCAGTCCTCAAGGGGTAGGTCATTAGCCAAAGGTAGTGAGAGAGACCATGAAGCAGATGTGATCTCACCTGAGGAGATCCTAATTTTCCTAGCTCCTGAAGCAGAGAAAGTGGTTAACTATCAGGCGGTGGGACCCAGGAATACAAATCTGACCTCTATACTGCCAGCAATGGGGGAAGAGGATAGGGAGATAAACATAGCTAGAGTTCTTTGCCCACGGAGTTGCCAGGTGGCAGGCATCCATCCAGGCCCTCTCCCTAAACTCAGTGATTAATTCACTGAAATAACTCAGCCGTGTTATTTGGAATAAGAGGAAATGGACAGCAGTGAATGGGGGAAGAACCAAGGATTTTATTTGATGCCTTTTTGGACAGAATAGAAAGTACAAACAAGAAGCCTTCAGAGAGAAAGGTTGTATAAAAGTCCACCCTCCCCTATTCCGCTCAGATAAAATAATAGTGAGATACATCAAAGGAGGCGGAAAAGCAAACAATCTACAAGCACACAGAACACAGTGAGTAAATACTACACACAGGGAGAGTGACTTGAAAACATCATCGTGAAAGAGATAATCCCCAGAAGGAATAGGAAGAAACTCCTTAATTAAGGAAATAATTAAAAGAAATAAAGATGAAAATTGGTGCAGAAATTAGAATTCTCAAAGAAACATAAAAGAAAAAGAAGAGAGTAGACAACTAGAGAGTCATTAAGAAGACTCTAAAACAGCATAGGATCTGAAAAAGAAGAGAATTTTTGTTACTAAAAAAAAACCATAAGTGAAATTTAATTAGAATAGAATCAAAAGAAATCCTGGAGGAACATATTGAGTCTATACAAGTCATAGTGACTGACTTTGAAGTAAGCTTATTTGAGGATCATAGGTATGCCAGAAAGGCACTATGAATCAAAATTTCTGAATATCATGCAGCAGGGAACAATACAAAAAAACTGAACAGAAGTATTGGAAACAGAGGGCAAGATACAGCTCAATAAAATCGGCAGGCTACCAAAAGAGAGAAATCAGAAATTTAACTCACTAGGAAATGTAGTGGTTAAACTTCAGACTTTCAATGGCAAGCAATGAAAACTAATAATAATTCACATTTACATAGCATTGAAGGTTTGCAAAGCTCTTTACACAAATGATCTCATTTTATCTGTATAGCTATAAGATAGGTGACTTTATTACCTCCACTTTACAGATAATGAGACTAGGGCTCAAAGACATTGGCTTGTCCATAGTCCCAAGTCCCAGAAGTGGGATTCAGTCAGTCCACCAACAAGCACCACTTATTCAGCACCTAATGTGGGCTAGACACTGTGCTAAGCACTGGGGACAGAAAGAGAGGCAAAAGATGGTCCTTGCTCTCAAGGAGCTCATAGTCTAATGGGTGAGACGTCACGCAAACAGTTATACAGAAACAAAATGGACATAGGATAAATTGGAGATAATCAACAGAGATTTAAACCAAGTCCTCCTCCAAAGTTCTTCTACACTATTCTACCCATAGCCTTAGTTATCAAGAAAAATCAGTCCACATAGTCGAGAAAGACTCCTGATGAAAAATCAAAGATTGGAAGATGATGTTCTGAGAAGGAGACCAGGTTGCATCCCCAATCAATCAATCAGTTGAGCATTCATTAAACCCCTACTATGTGGAGGGTGGGAGGAGCAGGATGGAGGGGTGGAGTGCCCAAGCACACAGCGTCCTCCTTCTTGACTTCCAGCCTCTTGGAGAGGGATCTCAGAAGACGGCCAGAGACCATTGGCCCTATCCCAGCACTCTTGTTTGCCCCCACTCTTATACATGCTGAGGATGGGCTCCCGAGGTGCTCTGGCTTGGCTGAGTTCCACTTCCTCCTCCCAAGTCTGGCTAAAGGGGTCGTGAAGCCTTCCCTGGCCTTCCTGGGCAGACCTCTCTGACCTTCCTCTACTTTCTCAGCCCTTTTCCCAAGAAGGGCTAATTTTCCCTTTGTTGCCTTCCCTGCCCAGCCACCCCATGACTGCAGATATGGAAAGCCATCCTCCAGCTCCGCTGACCTTTAGTCATCAGACTGCTGAGTCAAAAAGGAGATTACTTATCACTGGGGAGGGCGGATGAGGGCGGAGGAGCTACTGAGCAGGGACTTCCAAGCAGCCTGAGATGGGAAATCTGACTAACCCCATGTTTCCAGGGGCCAATGTTTCCCTCCAGACAAATCGGTGCAGAGTTTTTGCTTTGCTCAGGAGGAGTTTAGGGTCAGGGGTGAAGATTCACCATACTGACCTACCCCAAGTAAGGTAAGAAGCAGAACAGGAGGCTGGAAGGGGATTTTTGGAGGGGGCATCAGTGCTGGAATGCCAAAGCACTGCATATCCTCTATCCACGAAGGCGACAGAGGGCCTGCAAAGTTGGAAAAGGTAGGAAGTCCCTCAGGGAGCAGGCTTCCGCCACAAACACTGACAGCAACCCTTGTAACTTAGGACAGGAAGAGGTACTGTCTGCTATAGCAGCGCTCCTGATTTCACTGGGCTGGTGCTCAGAGAAAAGCCATACGATCCATCCCAATGTTGGTCCTTGGAGACTGTCTAGATTCCTTGCCGCATCCAGAGACAGTCCTGGGCTCAGATCCCAGCCTGACTCATGACTCCCTGGATGACTCTGGCTGAGTCCTTTAGAAGATCGGATGAGATCCTATTTGTAAAGCGGATTCTCACAGGTCCTGGCACATAGTAGGTGCTTATGCCCTCCTCTCCCTCATCTGCACCTCTGGACTTCCCTCTGCACATGAATGAAGTGAAAGGGCTGAACCAAGTGATGGACCCTTCTAGCCCAAGATCTATGACCTCTCCCTGTTCCTAACCTCCTATCTATCTCTAGACAAACCCCATCTCAAAGCCTAACCACTACCTTAAATTTATCTCCAGTCTATTATCTATGCCTAACCCTGGCCCTGACCCTCCTCTCTCTTCCATACCTTCTTGTCCCCTTTTTCATTCCCTACACCATCTCTTCCATCTCTCACACTCTATTGGTTTTCTTCCCCACCACCTGAAAACATGGTGCCCTGGGTTGCATCTCTTCCTTTCATAGTCAAACATCTAACAAGAATCCTACTGCCTCTACTTCCTCTGGCTTCTCCCCTCACCACTTTACTGAAAACCTTCCCTCTCCCCAGTTACCAACATCCTCCTAAGCACTGAATTGAATGACCTTTTCTCAGCTCATCTCCCTTGGCCTCTCTGCCTCTTCTCCTTATTCCCACTCTCACCCCCCACCAAGCCCTGAACACTCTAGACCCATTTCCCTTGGCCACACCTCTCTCCCAGCCATCCTTCCATCTCCTTTGCTGGCTCATCATGCATATTTCTCCCTCTACCTGTGGCTGTGCCCCCAAGGGTCTGTCCTATTTATCCTCTATACTGACCATACATATTTACGTGCCTGTTGCCTCCTCCATTAGATGATTAACTCCTTGAGAGCATGGATTATCTTTCACCTCTTTTCTTTCACCCAGTGCTTAAAGGCTCCCTGTCTGGCACATAGCGGATGCTTAAGAAATGTTTATTGACTGACTGACTGACTGTCCTAGACCTTCTTCTCTTCTCCTGCTACACTCCCATTTGATAACCTCAGTAGCTTCCATGAGGTTAACTACCATCTCTCTGAAGATGGCTTCCAAATCTATATACCCATCCCCAGTCTCTTTTGAGCTCCAGTCCCACATCACCCACTATGTATGGGGATTTCAAACTGTATGTCCTTATTCCAACGTCCCTTCTAGGGGCCAGTTTCTTGAGGATTGGCAGAAAAGATTCATCCCTTACTTGGAGAGGATGGCCAGAAGCGTGGATCTAGTAGATGGAAGGACCAGGATGGAGGGACATGTGTTCCTTATGGAATAGGAATTTCAGAGGGCACAGTATAAGGGGTGGGTGAGGTCAGCTTAAAAGAATTAGGATGAGAGAAAGGGAGGTGGGAGCTGGGTTAGTTTGCGTTAGAATTAGGGTTACAGCATCAAGAGCAGACACTGGGGAGTGGTGTGTGTCTCCAAGGGGTGTTGCAGAGAGTGCCGGGTGGGGTCTGGGTTGTTCCCACTCTGCTGCTGCTGCAGCTGCTCCTCCTCTGGGTGGCCGGGGTGGGAGCAAGGCAATGGAAGGCTGGGTGGGTGGTGGAGTGTGCTGGTCAGTGGGGCCTGGGTCAGAATTCCTCCCAAGCTTCCAGACTTGTGACATGATGCATAACCCTACATTTTGAGGGCATTGTGATCTCCAGGGCTACTCAGTCAACAATCATTTATTAAGTACCTACCCCTGTCAGGTACTGTGCACTGGAGAGACAAAGAAAGGCAAAAAAACAAAACAAAACCCTATCAATCTCTGCTCTCAAGAAGCTCAGAGTCCAATGGGTGGGAATCTAGCCTTCCTCTAGCAAAGTAATGCCTCTCTCCCGATCAGCAGGCTCCCATCAGACCAGCTGAGGAGTTAGCTGGGTCTGCTGGAAGCTTTCCTCGACTTCTGGTCTCTGTTTCCTGTGACTGTTTCTGCATTCAGCTCACTTGCCTGCTTCTCCCTATGGCGTCAAAAATTCTTGCTTGGTGCCTCGTTTTTTCACTCAGTCTACCTAGAGTCAGAGCCTCCTGGTTCCTCTTTACCTTAGGAGGTAACAATAAAGAAATCCATCCTTCTGTCAGGCATGAACCAAACAGCCATAGTCCCCACACAATTATTTGATTTACAATTCTCAGTCGTAAACTTCAAAACTCTAAACACAGTCACGTGTAGACAAGCTGATGGACTGTAGCACTCTGAAGCTGCCGTCAATTCATTCACTGTTCTGCCTTCAAACAGGTACATTCGTCTGAGAGGAAGCTCTTTATCTGGTCTGTTAATTAAGGAAGAAATGCCTGGAGAGAAATTATTAGAATTAGTTTATAAGAAAACACAATTGGAAATGCTAGTTATAGTTAATAGGTTTCCTGATACCATGAAGCACACTATTAAGTCACAGTAGAATCAAGGATTTGGGTTTATAGGAAAGAGTCCAATGCCCCTCAAGGGAAGAAACTTGGGACATTTAGGGGAAAAGGATTGCAGGAATTGTGCTGACCCATGGAGGCCATTGTGTGGATCATGTGCCCAGAGCTACCCTAGAAACTTCAGAGACCCCAAGGACAAAGTGATTCCATATGTGGATCCTGTGGACATGATAAACCTCTTGACCCTTTTGGCCATAATGCTCAGCACTGAAAGGGAATAGCTGTGCTATTATTGGCCGCTGAACAGGAAGAACTAATGATTCATCAGATATTTAAAGAGGTGTTATCTCAGCCTTAACACTCTCTTCCTTTCCAGTCACAAATGTCAGAACAGATTTGGGCCACTTCCTGGGAAGAGTGGGGGGGGGGCTTGCCCTGTCTCCCGAGATGGCCACCATGCAGCCTTGAGGACATGGCAGCTAGCACAAAGGGAACCAACTGGATGAGTTTGTGCCTGGGCCTCAGTTTCTCCGTCTTAAAAATGAGAGGTCTGTTCCAGAAGCCAAGATGGTGGAGTAAAAAGTAAGTCACTCTTGCCCTCCTGTATCGACCTCTGAAAGCCCAGAAAATATCGCCCCGGGAAAAATCCTGGAACAGCTGAACCAGAAGAAAGAGGGGGTGCAGCAGTCCAGTTGCTCAGGTAGCTTGAGGGATCAACAGGAAAGGCCCCTCTTGCCCTGGGGGAAGGGGAGCAGTACGGAAGGAGAGGCATCCCACCAAGCTAGCAGAAAGCCCCACTTTAGCATAGCAGAAGGACATCCTGAAACCCAGGTGGTGGAGCAGGCAAACACCAACACCTAGACCCCTGAGTGCCTCAGTCGGGATGGTGGTAGGGGAACCAGCAGAAACCAGCTCACAAAACCACCAGGTGCCCTGGTATTCCACAGCAGTCTCCCAGTGCCTCAGCAAAAATCTGTGAAGCACTCCAAGGGGCCCCAGGTGGATAAACATCCTTCAACACCCATATGAAAGGAGCTAAAGAAAGGGAAAGAAAAGGAAAAGCAGGCAACATCCAGGAGCCAGACTACCCAATCCTACCATTGGAGTTCCAGTGTTGCTGATTCCAGCCCCACACCAGGTAACCTGCCAGAATCCTACTGCCAATTCCAACTGCCAACATTGGAGGCCCCAGCTCACAAAGCCAGTGACCAGGCCCTAGGCTCCCAACACAAGAAGCTTGGGTCAGTGTTCTCTGCTCCCCAGCAGGAGAGCTAAATCTCTTTAAAGGCCAGGAAATAAGCAAACACCATGAGTAAAAAGAAACGTACCATAGATTCATATTATGAGAAGAGTGAAGATCAAGGCAGAAATTCTGAAGAGGACAACATTGTCAACAAACCCACATCTGGAACCCCAAAATGGAATATGAACTGGTCTGAAGCCCACAAAGTCTTCTTAGAAGAACTCAAGAAGGATTTTAAAAGCCAAATGAGAGAGGTAGAAGAGTCCTTCAAAAATGCAATTGGCCAAATGGAAAAAAAGTACCCTGAAGAAAAACGAGAGGTTGGTCTCTAAGGCCTCTTCCAGATAGAAATGCTATGATCACCTGATGTATAGATAAGCAAGATGCTTCCCAGGCTTTAGGTGACAATGAGATACAAACAAGGCCCATCCACTCCTCTGCTCCCTAACCAAGAAGGAATTTGGATGATAGAGATCTTCAGCTTGCCCCGGATCAAGGTCCAGGTCTCAGCGGGAGCCAATCTGAGCCGTCCATGGGTAGACACCCTAACTGGTCAGAACGCTGAAGGGTCAAGAAGATCCGAGCCTTATCAGCACCCATCTCCTCCCCCAAATCTTCCCCAAGTCCTTCTTTAGCTGCAGGGCCAAGGTGAGCATGGAACAGTATCTGTGGAAAAGTTGCAGCACTGTCTCATTGAATTACCAAGCTCATTGTTGGGGGGATCTTCTTTTCCTATTCACAATGCTGATAATAATAATGCACATAACAAGCCTGTTCCCTCTTCCATATAACATTCCATCAAACATGTGCCCCCACTGTCAAATAATAATAATAATAATGATAGCCAGCACATGGACAGGAGGCACTCTAAGGTTTGCCAAGGGCTTCACAAATATCATCTCATATGATGTTCACAACCACCCTAGAAGATGTGCCCATTTTACAGATGAGGAAACTTAGGACAAGAGAGGCTAACTGACTTGTCCAGGGTCACATGACTCCTTGAAGACTCAAGTCTTCCTGACTCCAATCCCACCATCTAGCTGCCTGTAACCCATAATGAGGATAAATAAAGTTTTGTTAATTGAATTCATTTCTTTTCTCCAGACCATAGAGGTCCTTTTAGATACAGACTCTTTCCTCCAAAGTAATGGGGATCCTTCCCAACTGTGTGTCAGGTGGAACTTTGACAAGCATGTCATGTCTGCTTTCATCCCAGGCACCAACAGAGATTCCTAGTGGTCCCCAATAGAGACTTTCCAAGCAGATATCAGGCCCTTAATGGCGATTCAGAGGATCCAAGCAATGGTGAGGCTTTTGCCTTTGGGCTCGTGACAAAACCTACAAGCTTATTTGCCTTGGGCAGGAGAACCATGAACAAATTTCCCTCCATCTTCTAGTTCTATGTATAGTGAGAGTGCCAATATTGAGATAATTCCTTTTCTCCTGAAATAATCTACTTGTTGGTCATTAGACAATGTTCTCACACTCAGGACAGATTATAGGTGGTATAAAGATGGTGTCATTCTTGGCTCCCTCTGCCCCTTCTTGGTTACTCTGCCACCATGGATGTAGAAGCAAAAGTGGGTGATCACACAGGACTGGGAGCCATTTGTATTTTTTTGTGTTCTGGGTCGCCAGATAGGGACATAGGGGGTTCCAAATCACCTAATCTAGTGCTTCGCAGAGTGCCTGTCACATAGCAGGTGCTTACTAAATGTTTAGGGATCCATTGATTGATAATTCCAAAGTCATCTGACTTAGCTGGGTGTTACTGGGCTCTTTCTAGCTGGATCTATACTGTGATGCTCTTTTGGGAGAGGCAACAACCCTTAGCCTAGGATGGACAGGAGTATCTCCTCTGATCCCCTCAGGACCTTTGCTTTGAGGTTTGTCGCCTCTAGGAAGAAGTGGCAAAGATCTACCTTCTCTTGCTTCCCATCTCATACATCCTCTCCATTCACATCCGCCCCCACCCTGGTACAGACCCTCCTCCCCTCATGCCTGGGCTCTGCCAAGAGCTGCTGCTGGGTCTGCCTGCTTCCAGTCTCTCCCCACTCCAGTCCATCCTCCACTCAGAAGTCTAACTGATCTTGCCAGGTTGGCCCAGGTCATGCCCCTACTCAAAAAATTCCAGTAGTTCCCTATCACCTCCAAGATCAAATATAAACTCTTTTCTGGCTTTCAAAGCCCTTCATAACCTGACTTCTTCCTACTCGTCCAGTCTTCTTAAACTTGGCTTCCCTCTGCCCCTTGAAGATGGCGTCTGTCTGCTGTCCCTGGACCACTGCTCAGGCTTTTCCATGTCTGGAATGGTCTTTCTTCTCCCCTTCACCTCCTTCAGCAGTCAGCTCCCCTTTGGCCCCCCGCATCCCTCCACCCCACTGCTGGTGCCTTCCCTCTGATGCCATCTTCCATCTGAGTGCCATCTTATCCACAGAGGTATTTACATGTTGTCTTCTCCATTAGAGGCAGGGCTCCTTGAAGTTAGAGACTTTGCTTTTGCCTTTCTTAGTATCTGCCCAGTCCTCTGTGCCTATGATTCATAATCAGAGTAAAATTAAAAGAAAAACCAAACCCTGGGTACAGTTAGGTGCATTTCTCCTGGAGCCCTGGAGGACCCTTTCAGCAGCAGAGTCTCACTGTCCTCAGCCTTCCTCTGTACAACACACTGGGTTTCTCTCACTTATAGCCGAGGGCCTCTGATGGGGTCCCTAACCTTGGCTGGATTCTTGCTCAAGGGAGTATTGTAGTCAGCTTGGCCAAGCAGGCCTGGAGAGGATTGACTGAAGAAGCTGAGTAGAGCCCACTTGGGAATTCTCTGAGGTTGTCCTTGTTCTCAGAGGGCAGGACCGGGAAGGTGGAAGGAAACCTCGGGGAAGCACACTGGGGCTGAATGCAAACATTTCCCAGCAAGTCAAGGGAGCCTGCTAGGCAGTGAGTTGCCACCCCAGTGGAGGCTAGCCCCTTGCCAGCAAGGCTGGAGGATGCCTCCTATGGGAGGCAAGGTCCCTTCTGGCTCTGAGGTCCTACAAGGGTATAACTCGGGTCCTGTGAAGGTGAAGGTGATCCCCCTCCAGCCCCACCCTCTGGTCAGTCACAATCTTGGCCTCAACAGTCCCCTCACCCAACCCATCTCTGTCCCAGGATGCCTTTCTCTGCATTCCCCCAGAAATGATCATCCATCTGCCGTGGGAAAAGCTGCAGGGCAAGGCAGGAGAGGCCAGCTCCTACCCAGGTAGTCTTCTCCCCCTTGGGACAGTAGGAAGCATTTCTTTATAAAAGACTCAATCTGCCTCCAAGAGGTTTCTACCACCTTGGCTCCTGCCTCTGCCTTCTGGGCCTGCCTCCCACACTGGAAGGTGGCTGCCATGTTCCCCATGGTGCCTGTCTTCTCCAGCCCAGGGCGCTCTTTGACTTCCTCATCTCAGCCTCCAGACTGTCCTTCTCCACACTCCCAGAGGCCTCCTTCTGGGAGCTAGGCTTCGTGGGCTCTGCCACAGGTTGGATCCCGTGGATCTGAAAGTTCGTCTACCTCCGCCTACCACTTCCATTCCCCACAGACCCCCCAGAGCCTCTCCACAGGAAGGCACTCCGCAGCCACAGGTCACGGCCTTTGAGATTCCAGACTCACAGAATAGGGGCATTTGGCGCATCAGGAAGGAACCCCCCACCTCCCCACCCAGGCCATCCACCCCCCCTCCATTTCAGTTCTCATTAAGGTTTTCCAATGAAGAAGCATGTGTAAAGCCCTCCGCAGACCTTGAAGGTGATAAAATGCAAGCTGCTGTCAGAGCAGGGCACCAGACAGGCCATCCCTTCTCAAGCTAGCAGGGATCCCTCGGCTTTTCTCTCCGGAAGGGCTGGTCCTGGACGTCCTCGTCTGGGGCTGATGTTACCGCCCAGGACTGGCCTCCTGGCTTCTCCTTGGCAGGAGCCCCTTGGGTACCCAGGGCATCGTGGGAATGTGGACAGGCTGTTGTGACAAGGCAAACAAGAAGAGGTAAGAGAGAAGACTTGGGGGGACGAGAAAGGTGACGGGCTTTCCTGAAGAGGAGACTACTTGTTTTTAATTTTATTCTGTATATTTCTATTCAGATGAGCTGGCTTCACCCCGGTAAACTAAAAGAGAGAAAGACAGCACCAGACAGCCATGACCCATCCTAGAGGAAGGTTGTTGATTTCTGTTGGGAGCGAGGCTTGGCATCAGGGCTGCCCGATTCTGAAGAGTCTGAACCCTCCCACAGAATTGTGCCTTGCAGCTGGGACACCAGGGAAGGGCTTCTGCATTCTGTCAGGGTCCCCTTAAAACCTTGCTCCCTAAAAATCGTTGCTCCAGGCATTGTGGCCTGCTTCCCAAACTCCTGCCATTTCCCTAGGTAAAAACTACCCTTGGAATGCCCCTGTTTAAATTCCTCACTTAGAGAAAAGCTGATTTTTACGAATGTGTTTTGTATAGCCAGTAAAAAGGAGGAGGCAGTGAACCTGAAATGGGGAGAGATGGTAGTAGGGGAGGGTCCGAGGAGGAGCCACTCGTCCCTGACCCTGACTCAGCATTTGGATGCCATGAGAGAAGGTCGGGCAGCTACGGGAAAGTTTTCCAGGAATGAACTGTCTTCTAGGGAGTATGTAGACGGAAGAAGTGGAAAGGAAGATGGCCAGGACAGGGGGAGCCTTGTTAAGGGGAGAACAAGGGTTCGAGGGAAGGCAAGAGAAAGGCATGGCTGGGATGAGGGCAGGAGAAGCAGGTTTTCACAATCTAAGGAGCTGGGAACATCGAATCCAAGGATTAGCAGAGGTAATGGGAACCAGTGGGCAGGGACTTGGGACGGTGATGGCAAAGACTGCCACCCATTGGCTTACTCTCAAACACCAGGGAAGAAGAGGGAATGGTGGAAGGACAGGGGTGGGGGGGCTTCTGGGTCAGCCAGTATATGCCATCTGGGCTCCCATGGCCTGACTGAATGCTTCCCAGGGGGGTAGATGAGAAATACCCCAAGCCTGGACCATGCACTGGGCTCCAGGTCACCCTGGATGCCCCACTCTCGGCCAGGCTCCAGGTACTACTGCCTGGAGGTCCCCTTCTGGGTGTGAAACGCCAGAAAGTGACAGAGTCCTCTCTGGGACACAGTATGGGCAGTGGGAGAGAGGGGAGGGATAGGCTTTAGGTTAAAGAAGAGGGGAGCGATAGAGAAAGGAGGGAGCTGGGGACAGACCTGGTTAGGCAGAAATGTGGTGGTGGGCTGTGCTTCCACGGAAGCCTTGGCTGAAGAAACGCCGGCGGCTTACTTCCCCTCCCTCAGAACGCTACTTTTTACTTGATAGGAAGAACCAGGGTGAGACTGGGAAGTGGTTGCTCCCAGTGTTTACACTGCTTTAACTCTTGCTCTGAATTGCATTCCTCTTTTTACTCTGTCATCCAAATGCACCAAACTACAGGACTCCTGACCGTGGGAGCCTCAGTAAAATGGGACTATAGTCATGTCCGGTAGTGGGCCATTGAAATAGTAGCAGCACATTAAACAGAGAACTGGGCCTGGAGTCAGGAAGATCTGAGTTTAAATCCAGCTGTGTGAACTTGGGCAAGTCACTTTAGTTCTGTTTGCCTCAATTTCCTCATCTGTAAAATGAGAATAATAGTGACCCCTACCTCTCAGAGTCGTCCAGGATAAAATCGGCTATCTGTAAAGCACTTTGCAAAGCTTCAAGTGTGATCGTTGTTATCCCTGTGATTCAAAGGAATTTATTTTATAAAATGTCAAAAGAGGCAGGAGCCTATGATAACTGCTGGGATTCTCACCAGGTGGTCCCCAACGCCACACTGAGGCACCGCTGGGCGTCCTGTGGAGCTGCCAGGGAGGGGGGAGGGGCTGGGGAAGGGTCTCTCCCCCAAGGCCAGCCTCTCAGTCACATCAGGCTACACCCAGGAAGGAAGCCTGGTCAGCCCCCTCCCCCCGAGAAAAGAATTGCCTGTCTAGAGATCCTCATCCTCCCTGTAACTATCACTCCAATTAACGCGACACTTAAACACTGTCCTCTCACGCTTTTGATGGCTTCAATGAAGAGTCCAGTTTGCGACAGAAAAAGGTGAAGGCCAGTAGGGAAGGCACAAAGAGGCAGGAAGGACAGAGAGTCCTGCATTTGGAGGCAGATGACCCGGATTCGAATCCTGGCTGGGCGGCTTACAGTAGTGCACAACTTCGGGTGGAGACCTGGCTCAACTCCTCCACCACCCCCCCGGCCACACCCAAAGATGGCCAAGCCCTGGATCTTGGCATCCCCCTCCATGGTTACTCACCTCCATTGTCTGGAATTCCGGAATCTCCTACAGCCGAGCATGATCTATGGGCTTTTCCCTTCTCCTCCATGTTCCCTTACACAGCCCCGCTCTTCATCCACGTGATGGCCTCTAAACCCTTGACCCCCTCAATTCTCTCCCAGGCCACCTCCCCTGCGCTGACCACTCTCTCCTCTTCTCACCATTTTGATTCCTTGGCAAACCAATTCAACTGGACACTGTCCTCCTTTCTAGAATCCCTCGATCCCTATCGCACCACTGGTTCCGCCCAGACAAGCCTCAGCCTTGGATCACTCCCACTGTGTCACCTTCACACCTGCTGCTAAATGCAGATGGAGAGAATCCCATCCTGCCCGAGTTCTCTACAAATTTATGTTACACAACCTGGAAGGGCCCTCACAGCTGCCAGACAATCCTTCCCCCTCTCCATCTGCCTTCCCTTACCAAACCCTGCTCTTTACTGGTATGTCACCTCCTGGTCTTTGACTCCTCAGCTCTCTCCCAGGCTCTCCTCTCTCCCCATAGCGACCCTTGGTGAATCAGTTCAAATCTACATTGTTCTCTTCTCTTGAGTCCCTCCCTGGCCCCTCATATTTACAATCCTGCCCAGGTGGAGAAAATCAGACCATGGTTCTGATTGGGTTCACTACAAGTTAGTTACACACCTCTACCGGGCCCTCACTGCCACCAGGCAATCCTTCTCCCTCTGCCTTAGAAGCTCACTCTTCCATTCTTACCACTCATTCCCTTCACTTCATCACTTCCTATGGATTTAATTATCATCTCTGTGCTGACGATTCTTAAATCTACCTTTCCTATTTCAGTTTCTCTGCTGACCTCTAAACTGACATCTTCAGCTGCCTTTCAGACACCTCAAACTGAATATCCTGTAGACAGCTTAAACTCAGTTATGTCCAAAACAGAACTCATTCTCTTTCCCCTTAAACCCTCCCCTCCTCCTACCTTCTCTATTACCATAGTGGGCAACACCATCCTCTCAGTCCTTCAGGCTCCCAACCTAGGAGTTGTAGATTGCTCATTATCTCTTACTCCCCACGTCCAACATGGTGCCATGATCTGCCAATTTCACCTTTGCAGCCTTTCTTAAACAGCCTCTGCCCTGGACTGCGGCAATGGCCTACCAGTGGGTCTGCCTGCCTCAAGTCTCTTGCCACTCCAATCCAGCCTCCATTCAGCCACCAAATTGATTTTCCTAAAGCTCAAGTCTGATCATGTCACCCCTGCTCAACAAAACTCCAGTGGCTCCCTATCACCTCCAGGAGCAAATACAAAATGCTTTGTTTGGCATTCAAAACCCTTCATAACCCAACGCTCTCCTACCTTTCCAGTCTTCGCGTGCCTTCCTCTCCAACATGTACTCTTCCATACAGTGACACTGGCCTCCTAGCTAGCAGGAACAAGACTGCCCATTTCTTGGCTCTGGCCATTCTCTCTGATCGTCCCCCCTGCCTGCAGTCCTCTCCCCTGTCCCCTACTACTGACCTCCCTGGCTCTTTTAAGTCCCAACTAAAATCACACCTTTTAAAGGAAGCCTTCCCCAATCCCCTCTTAATTCCAGTGCCTTCCCTCCATTAATTACTTCTTCTTTATCCTACAAATAGTTCGATATCTATGTACACACATATACACACATGTACACATATACACACATACATACATGTTTATGTTCACATGTTGTCCTCCCCATTAGATTGTAAACTCCTGAAGGGCCAGGATTGTCTTTCACCTCCTTTTGTATCACTAGAGCTTAGCACAGTGCCTGGCACACAGTAGGTACTCAACAAATGTTCATCGATTACTTTGTTAGGTCCTAACTTCCACATCTGTAAATCAAGGGGGATGGACTTGATGGCCGCTCCCATCCCTTCTGCCTCCACCTAATGACCCTTTGATCTGTGAGAGGCCAGACGGCTCCAGTGTGGCCAGCTGGGCCAAAGCACAGACACAGGGATGCTTCGCTTGCCCAGTACAGCTCGGAGTGCCAAGCCCCGAGTGTCCCTGAGCACTGGCTACAGAGACAGCTTCCAAGTCTGTCCCTTCATCCTCTCCTGGTACAGCTGATTCAAGATTTGTTCTGGGCCACGCTTTTCCAACTTCCCCGAGACTCTGGTCAGAAATGGCCAGAAGGGCCGGCCCTCTGGGGAAGGTCATGTCCCATTCCATCAATCCTCCTCAGCACGTGCAGCCCTCCATCCCCCTTCCCACTGGACCTCCTCCTGAGAGAGTGCACCAGGGGAGGCTGCGTGAAAGAGCATATGCTTCTGCTCCTCACGAGTCACCAAAGCCCTGGACATGTTGTTGAAGCCAATCTTGTTCAGGCGCAGTCATGACAACAGTTAGCATGTTTAACGTCCCCATTATGTTAGAAGCTAACTTCGCGTTAGCTCACTTGATTCCAACAACCCTGGGTGGCAGGTACTCAGGCTCCATTCTCCCTTTTACAGATGAGGAAACCGAGGCAGGCAGAAATGAACTGACCTGCCGGGGGGCATACAGCCAGGAAGTATCTGAGGCAGGATTCAAACTCAGGTCTTTTAGGCTCCGTTCTCAGTGCGCTGTGCATTCTGGCACCACGTACCTGCTGCCTCACAGGTAGGATTAGACCAGCAAGTTCTTGAGTCCCTTCCAGTTCTGTGGTTCTGTCTTTGTTCTATCCATCTATCCAACATTAATCCACTGACTTTGAGAACACTTTCTGACTGAATCTGTCAGTCAGAACTCCGTGTGAACAGGGCCTGTACACCACCTGGAATCCAAGCCACTATGAAGAGTCCTGGAGAGACCCTCCTTGGTAGCCCTGCCCCCAACAGAAAGTAGAGACAGACAGAGAGATAGGAGAGGAATCAGAGAAAAAGAGGGGAGGGAGGGAGAGAAAAGAGACGGGAGAGACAGAGGCACAGAGGGAGACAGATGGGGAGAGAAACAGAGACCAAAGGCACCAGTAAAGAGTCCCCTGACACAATACTCAAACCAGAGCTGGTTCTTTCCTTCCAAACCCCTTCCTCCCACCAACCAGCTCATTTCTGTGGCAGGCACCGCTGTCCTTCTGGTCGCCCAGGTCCCCTCAGGTGGTGTCTTCATGTCCTCCCAGCCCAGTCAGGAAGGATGGAGAGCACAGGCAGGGCAACGGCAGGGCACGTGGGCCCCTGGGGGCCGCCACCATCCGAGGGAAGGAGAGGGGCCCCCTCCTCCCTCTGCAGTCCTCTCCCACCCAGTGACGCCGGCCTCCGGGCCGTGTCTATATCATTGCTGGGCATTCTCTCTGACCATCCCCTAGGCCTGGACTGCTCTTCCTGCTCTGCTCCGCTCCAACTCCCTCAAGTTCCAGCTGACATCCCACCTCCTACAGGAAGCCCTCACCAGCCCTCTGAACTTCCAGGCCTTCCTTCTCTTTATCCTGAAGCTAGCTGCTTCCTTGTCTCCCCTGTTAGACTGTAACCTCCTTGAAGGCAGGTGTCCGGCCTCCTTCTGTATCCCCAGCACGCAGCACAGTGCTTGGCACTGTAGCTGCTTAATCAGTGCTTACTGACTGAAGGTCCCTGGATTTGGGAAGCAGAGAACTGGGGTTCCTGACCCAGGCCCACCACACTGTGCTCCTGGACAGAGTCACGTTCTCTGGCCTGCTCCTACCTCCACAAAACGAGACGGCCAAACGACGTCTCGGCAACACAAGCTTCCGCAGACGGCAAATGGAGGCTGAGCAACAAGTTCCACTGCTAGTGAGCGTCTGAGGCAGAATCTGAACTCAGGTCTTCCTGACTCTGCCTACCCCTCTACCCTGTGGCACCCTCTAGGGGCCTGTGGAGGGAAAGGACTTGTCCTAAGGCCACAATCAGGCACTGTCTCCTGGACCGACCTCCAAGGCCATAGCGCATACAAGAAGAGTTCTCTACTACAGCCCTCTCAAGGGACTGAGCCTCCACGGTCCCTCCAGGGTTGGGGAGCTCACCACCCACAAGCCAGCCTGTGTACCTGGTGGACAGCCTCAATTGTGTCTCCACTGCTTCCTGGGGCCCCTCAAGCCCACTTTCCCAGTGACTTGAGGTCTGTGACCAGGTCCCTTAAACCTTTCCTTCTCCGCACTGAAGGCTCCCAGGACCTCTAACCACCATCCCCACACATCTGGTCGCCAGGTGGACACCTGTCTCCCTGCCCCTCCTCTCGTCCTCACTCCCCCATCTGTCCAGGGCACCAGCATTCTTCCAACCAGGGTTGTAACCCGTGGCCTCCTCCTCACTCCTAGCCAGCCTGAGGCCACTGCTCGGCCACTGTCCCGTCTCTCGGGTGACACTCTGCCCTTTCCCCTCGCTCACCCACCAAGGCAGCGCCCACAGCATCACAGCTTGGTTCTCTCCTTGGCCACATCCCCCTCCCCTCCGGCCTTCAGCCCAACTAGCTTCCTTGCTCTTCCTGGAACCCCACGCCGCCCTTCCCATGTCTGGATGAGCTGTTCCCCAAGCCTGAGAGGCCCTCCATCCTCCTGGACTGTGCTCCATTCTCCCTTCTGCTGCAGTGACTGGAACGGAAAGTCCCGGGGCACAGCCTGTCTCTCCTTGCTCTCTGCACACAGCTGGCATTTATTACATGCACTGCCCCCCGGGCTGCCCTCCTCCAGACCGCTGACACCTTGGCGCCCAATGCTCCAGGCCTCTAGTGTCCTCATCCATGGGACAGGGGCTTCTCAAAGGGTTGCCTTCTCTCTCTTGGCTGCTGTATGGTGATGAGGCTTCTGTGTTGTGAGCCATCTGCTACAATGACCAAAGCTTTTTCAAACAGCTAGCCTCACATCGATCTCCCATTTTCTACTTGAAAAATTGTTTTTCAAAAACCCGAGTTTCAGACTTCAAGAAATCTTCCAAGACCCTCTCAGCCAACCGTAGCAACCCCTCCAAACGGCATGAGGTTGCTTTGTGCCTTGGGCCCTGCCCGAGTCCAGCCTTGGCCTACAACAGCCTTCTCCTGGACACAGACCAGAAAGGGAAGAGTTTGGGATCCGAACCCAGATCTTCAGACCCCAAACTGGGGCCACATACTTAGGCCTGAGGGGACCAGGACTGGGATGGGCCTTCTGATGGACCTTTGTGCCACAGTCAGGCTGAGGCCTCCAGCTCTGCTACCTCCCCTCCCCCCCGCCAGCCGACCTTTCCCTTGGAGGCCTGAGGCAGGGCACGACTCTGAGCTTGGCCTTTTACACACAGCTTCAATGATTTTATTGTGTTCTTGGCTTCAAATCCTATTTTTGGGCGGGGTAGGGGGCAGGCATCTGCTCCCAGCCTGTGAGGACAGGCCAAGGGTGACCGTCCACCCGTCCTGGCCCGTCCTCCCGGGTACAGCCAAGTCTGGCTCTTGGCCTCTGGCCTCCACCACCAGGGTCCGGTCCCCTTCTGGCCCCTGCGCCCCGGCCTTCTCTTCTCAGGCCCTTTCTCCCCCTCCCTCTTCATCGGCCCCAATGTCTGGGGCTCTCTCCTCGCCTCCTGAGAGTGGCCTGATTCGGGGGACGCTGGGGTGGTGGGAGGAGGAGAAGGGAGCGGCCTGTGATGGCCCATGGCCAGGTGGGCAGCCGGCGCTCTATCCCACGGGCCACGGAGCAAAGGGCCTGCCCCCTGCCGTGCTGGGGCCGGGAGGGGCCGGGGGTCTCCCATGGGTGCGCTGGTGGCGCAGCACGTGCTCCCGCCGCCCGAAGCCCTTGCCGCACTGCCAGCAGGCGTAGGGCCGCGCCCCGGAGTGCGTCTTGTGGTGCCTCACCAGGTGCTCCCGCCAGTAGAAGGTCTTGCCGCAGTCGCGGCAGGCGTGGGGCTTCTCTCGGGCTGGGCGGGGAGCCGCACACAAGCCCAGGGGGGCTGTGGGTCCGGTCCCTGGGGGCGGGCCCGGGTGGGTGCCCCGGTGCCGTCGCAGGTGCTCCTTGCGGCGGAAGGCCTTCCCGCACTCTGGGCACGCGTGGGGCTTCTCGCCTGAGTGGCTCTGCCGGTGTCTCAGCAGGTGGGCGGGCTTCAGGAAGGCCTTGCCACACTCGAGGCAGGAAGCGGGTGCAGCCACCACGGCTGCTGCTGGGCCCAGGAAGCAGGGCAGGCAGGAGGGCAGCGATGGCAGGGGCGGGGGGCTGCCAGGCTCCTGCTTGTAGGGGCGGGGCAGCTCCGAGGAGGCTCCGGGGACTGGGGCAGCATTCACACTCACGCCCCCTGAGGGTGGCTCGCCTCCTGCTGGGGCAGAGACAGGAGTTAGGACAGGGGTGTAGAGGGCAGATGTGAGGAAGGGACCTGGAACTCAGGCACCTCCCCCCCCCAGCCTCAGCCTCTGCTCTGAGGTCTGCCCCTGGGGTCAAACAGCACCAAGGTGACCCCTGAGAAAACAGAGAAATAAGACTCATCTGAAAAGCCTGGCAAGCAGGCCCAGCGAGCCCCCGAGGCCCTCATGCACAGACAGACGTGGGTACAGGTTCTGGACACGGCATATCTGTGACAAGGGCCTGAGGGTCAAAAGCAGGGAGCAGCTGCTCACCTCTGGCTTTGTCTACCAAGACCAAAGGGGACGGAAGTTAGAAGGCCAAGCAAACTCTGCCTTTTGGGCCAAAACAGCCAGCCTGTGTGCCCAGGGAATCATGGAAAATGGGAGAGGGACAGGGAGAGGAGAGAGGGGGATGGAGAGGGGAGAGAGGAGAGGGGGATGGGAGAGGGGAGAGGGGGATGGGAGAGGACTGAGGGGGACGGGAGAGGAGTGAGGGGGACGGGAGAAGAGTGAAGGGGACGGGAAAAGAGAGAGGGGGATGGGAGAGGGGGACATGAGATGAGAGAGGGATGGGAGAGGAGAGGGGGGAAGGGAGAGGAGTGAGGGGGATGGGAGAGGGAAGAGAGGTGAGGAGGATGGGAGGGGGGACAGGGGGACAGTGGGACAGGAGAGGGGGATGGGAGAAGGGAGAGGAGAGAGGGAGACAGGAGAGGAGTGAGGGGGACGGGAGAGGGAAGAGAGGTGAGGGGACGGGAGAGGGGAGAGAGGAGAGGGGGACAGGAGGGGAGACAGGGGGACGGGAGAGGGAAGAGGGACACGAGAGGAGTGAGGGGGACTGGAGAGGAGAGAAGGGGATGGGAGAGGAGAGAGGGGGACGGGAGAGGAGAAAGAGGGGGGACCTGGAGGTGAGAGACCCCGCAAGGTGAGCTGCTGGCAATCCTGGCACAGCAGGTGCTGCAGAAGGGGATGCAGGGGTGACTGACAGCTGAGGACAGGTCAGGTGGTCGAGGGGGATGCCTGGAACATCTACCCAGCTCTTAGCAAAGCCTGGAGGGAGGCCTCAGGGTATACAGGGGGAGACGGAGAGATGGGGAGTGGGCCCTGGCTCATTCTCCTTCTCTCCCACCTTCCCTACCACTGTCCAGGGCAAAACCACCGCCTCCTCACTTGCTCTAGTGCCCAGATCCAATATGGCGCTGAGGTCTGCACCCTCTCTCCAATGGGCCCCTGCCCCCAGCCTGGTGCAGCCTCTGGTCTCTCATACTGGTCTGTCCTAAAGCCCTGTCTGCTCTCCCCTCCCCCAGGGGCTCCCCGACATCCAGAAGCCAATCCATGCTCAGAGTCCTCCCTCCGCTGCCTCCCCCCACCTTTTGTCTTCTCATCCTGACTCCCCGCTATAGACCCAATCTGGGCTGGCCAGGCTGTTCCATGAACAAGACCCTCCATCTCCCAGCCTGGCATTTTCTATGGCTGCTCCCCAGGCGGGGAAGATTCTCCCTCCCCTCCCCCATCACCAGGCTTCTTTCCCATCCCAGCTAAAGTCTCGCCTTCCTCAACCTGACTTCATATTCTAGTGCCTTCCCTCATGGGTCACCTGCTGCTTGGCCTGTTTAGGGCTCGTCTGTACGTAGCTGCTTGTACCGCCATTTAAAAAGGAAAATGATCAGAGAAGGGTCACCGGGAAAGTGAAGGGCCTTAAATCCATGCCAGATGAAGGTCAGTTCAAGGATCTGGGCCTGAGTGGCTTGGAGCACAATGCCCTTCTGTGGGGAGTCTAGGGGCTGGTCTTGGCCCCTGGAGGCAGAATCTGGCTAAAGCTCCCCTAACATTGAGCACTGTTGTGGAGTGGATGGGGGCCCCTCGGTGCTGGGGGGTCTTCTAGGGCCTTCTTGGGATGCTCCCCAGTCTGGAGGCCTCCCCGGGGACCCTCCCCTTGGCAGCTCCTCTGGGCCCTTTCCCAAGGGGCTCCCAGCACTCACTGCCATCTCCTCTGCTCAGAGCAAAGCTTCCCTCTTCTCCAACAAGACACCTCTGAAGTCTGCCAGGCTCTCCGCTAAGACCCCACAGCTCCTCCACCACCTTGCGCCTGACTGCGCCTCTCACCTGCCTTTCTAGTCTCTCTTAAAACATGACCATCCCTCTCCAAATCCTCTGTCCTAACTCCATCATACACAACGCATTGGTGCAAAGAGCGCAATTGCTTGGAGGGCAAGGCCTTTTACTTTTGTCTACCAGGCCAGGCCACTCCATAAACATGGACTGGGCTGTGTTTCTTAACCCCAGACATCAATCTGACCCTGTGAGCTTCACCCCGATGCCCTCATCTTTCTGGAAGCTCACCACGACCTCCCGGCCTTGGGCCATCTGCAAACAGAAGGAGCAGGCCCCAGGACATGGTGTGAGGGAAAGGGTCCAATTTGGGGCTGGAGGCCCCAGGCCCCCGGCCTAGGTCTGACGCTGAAAACCGTGGGCAAGTCTCTCTATAGGATGTCTTACATCCTCCTCCTCACTGTCCACCAAGAGGCTGGTACCAGAGATGGAGGTGGCGCTTAATAAATGCTGGTCAGCTCATGGACTGCCAGGAAGGGGCCAATCCTCCCCTCCATGAAGATCCCCACACGGCCTGGGCCCCCACAGCACTGACCGGTACCAGGCTCCTGCTAGGAGTCACTGATGGGCTGGTAACAGAGGCAGGGCTCAAGCGGACCCAGGAATGGGATCCTGACCACCGGAGCCCTGCAATGGTGGCCTCAGAGCAGCATGACTTCTTCCCTGGAGGTCACCTGAGCAGATGCTGGAGGTTATGCTGCAGATATGGGGAGGGCCCTGAGAGGAAGATGGGGGTCAGGTCTGGGGTAGCCCGCGGCATAGGGGTTGAGGTGGGTCAGGACCAGTGACACAGGCTTCCCATTAGGAAGGACGACTGTCCGTGGCTGAGTTGGGGACAGGGTCAGGGACAGCTGGCGATCTGGGGTTTCTGTCAGGGTAGAATTGGGAAAGATGATGAAGACAGGACCAAGGCGAAGCCCAGAGTGATGAGGGAGGGGCCCTGGAACCAGGTAGAGCTGGGGAGATGGTAAAGGTCGGGACAAGGTGTTCCATCTGGGTTTGAATGAGGGTCAGGATCATCTCCCCCCCCCCCCCCCGCTGCCGCCATCAAGCTTCTCTTAGGGGAAGGTCCATGTCTGCTCGACCCAAGACTAGGGGTTCCCTGAGGCCCATTTTCCTGCCTCTCCTCTTCTCCAGGTCTCTGCTCCAACCTGTGGAGTAGGGAAGGGGCTGCTTCTCACCTAGCGACATCATCCCGCCATCTTCCTTCCCGGTGGGGACTCCAGCAGCACCTGTCACCTCTTGCTGTCCCCTGAGCTCCTGGGGCCGATCCTGGGACGTCACTGGCCCCTGAAATGGTGGGACAGCCTGTTTAGTAAGTGATCATTCAGAGGGATGGCTATGCCTTCTCCAGCAGAGGGGAGGTTTCAGATGTCAGAAGGGCCAGCTCAGGCATATTAAAAGGCTCTTAATGACTTACAGCCTTCTTTTTTTTTTGGGGGGGGGGAACAGGACCAGCTACGAATGACAGAGAGAGCTGGGTCCTAGCTGCATCTCTGCCCCAGACTCATCCACGCTGAGGGCCTTGCTACCGACCCCTTCGTTTGCCTCACTGTGAAATGAGGAGGTGAGAATCTGAGCTCTCTCCAGGCACATAAAAGCCATCAGCTGGTGTTGGTTGGGAAGGCCTCAGGAGGGGGATCTAAGCACGATGATGCAGTGACGGCAGCTCCTCACTCCCCAGGGCTCTGCTCTCCTCCTGTCCCCCCCAGGGAGGGAGCCCAAAGATGTTCATTCTCACTTTGCAAGGAAGGGTGACGGGGCCTTGACCCTGGAGGGTCGGCTCCAGGGAGATGACAGGGTCCCAAGCCAGCACTGGCCCTCACGGATTTTTTGTCTGTCGCTGGCCCTCTGAGAACAGTTCATTCTAGGTAGGTTTTGACCACTCTGGGACCCAGCCTTTCCTCCTGCCTAGGTCTCCTCCCCCAACCCAGGCAAAAGTGCTTGGCCCACCTCACCCTGAGAAGTCAATTCCCTTTCTGGCCCACAATGTCCCAATCTAGAAAATGGGGACACAACCAATCCTTATACTAGGGCGGAGCCCCTGTCGGGGAGCCGCTTGACAGCCAAAGCTCTCATTCCCCATGTCCTGGGCCCTTCCCTGCTTAGGACCCTGGCCCCAGGACTTGCAACTGAGACCTTAGCTCATCAGAAGGGGAGCCCCCGGAGCGCAAGGAAAGCCTCACTTCTTGGCTGGCATCCCACTGCACCTTCTTTAGCTGGAAGAGCTCATTACTTTGCTGGGTGCTGTATCCCGGACTGAGCCTTTCCCACCATGGTTCTGTCTACACCAGCATCCACACCAGCCTCCCTGAGCTCCTTTGACTATGGAAGGGGCCTCTGTCTGGGGAAGCATCTTATAAATAGGGCCAGAACCTGTGGGGGGCATAAAGCTCAGCAGCTTCCCCCTCCTCCACTCCCCAGGGGCTCCCCGAACCTTGTGGCCACACTACACTCTGACCAAAGGACACACTTCTCATCATAGGATCCAGTCCTGACTCCTAAGACATCTCTACTTTCCATTTTGACCTGTTCAGTCTATGCCCAGGTTGGGCTTTGAAGCCTAATTAAAATGCTCTCTTGGGACTCTGGAGGTCAGACGGTCTAACCACAGCGCGCTAGCTGTCGAATGTGGCCCAACAGTGGACAATGAGGGCGATGCAGAGGTTCCTAAACTGCAAGTAGGGCCCAAGATTACATTTGGGGCAGTGCAGGGGAATGGCTTCTGCACTGACAGACTTCTGCACTTGTGCAGAAGGGTCTGCTCCACCGACCGCAGTGTTTGCTACAGTGACGGGTTCTCTGGATGAAGACTCTGGAGAGAATGACAAAGCATTTAGAAGAAAAAGCCTGCCTTGAGAAGGGCCCCAGGAGGATTTCTGGAGGGGAAGGAAGACCAGTGAGGTGACTGGAGTGGAAGGTAAATGAAGATGAGGAAGAACAGGAAGGCATCAAGGTCCCAAAGGCACAGTGCACAGAGAGGCGGCTGAGCTCACCTGCGGATTTTCAGCAGAAGCACCCAGGCTCCCTCCCCTCCCCAGGGGCCGGCAGCACCCTCTGGGAACCCACTCCAAGAAGAAAAGAAAGGACCCACCCTGGATGCCAAAGAGATCCTAAAAACGGGAAAAGGACCCACATGTAGAAAAATATTTATAGCAGCCCTTTGTGTGGTGGTAAAGAATTGGGCACTGAGAGGATGCCCATCCACTGGGGAGTGGCTGAGCAAGCTGCGGGATATGAATGTAATAGAATATTACTGTGCTACAAGAAATGATGAGCAGGCAGACTTCAAAAGACCCGGAAAGATGTGCATGGTCTGATGCTGAGTGAGGTGAGCAGAACCAAGAGAACACTGTACAAAATAACAGCCACATTGTGTCATGACTGACTTTGACAGACGTAGCCCTTCTCAGCAGTGCAAGGATCTAAGACATCTCCAAAGGCCTTGTGATGGAAAATGTGACCCACATCCAGAGAAAGAGCCAGGGAGTCTGAATGCAGATGGAAGCACACTACTGGCTCCCCTTTTCCTTTGTTGTTTTGTTTCGATTCTTCTTTCTTGTGGTTATCAGCTCTAATTCTTCTTTACATCATGAGTAAGGGGAAAATATGCTTGATATGAATGGATAAGTAGAGCCTATATCAGATTTCATGCTGTCTTGGGGAGGGAGGAGGGGGGAAGGAGGGGGAGAAAATTTAAAACTCAAAATCTTACAGAAGTGAATGCTGAAAACTAAAAATTAACAAATAAATATATACATACATACATAAGGAAAGAAGGGACACGGGAAGCAGGAAGGCATGCTCCGGCAGCCGTTGGCAGTACCCACGAAGGCCTGTGCTCCAGGGATGAGGAGGGGGCTCAGAGCTGAGCCCTGCATGGAGGGAGGGAGGGCAGGGATAAGCTGGCAAGGGGCTAGCCTTGAGCTCACTTCCTGGGTCTCTGTCTAATGCCTACGATGGGCCAGGCCATCCGCCCGTGTGGGTGACCACCCCACCCTACCCCCAAGCTTGGAACAGAACCAAGGTCGTGGACTCTACACTTGAGGAGGATGCTGCACCTTCCCCGGCCCTCCAACACTTTGGGCCCAAGGAAGGTGGGAGAAAACACAAGACGATATGGGTGGGCTTTCTTGCAGAGTCTGGCCTCAGTCCCCCTCCTAGACTGTAGACTCCCTGAGGGTAGTGACCCTGTCTTGTCATTCTCTAACCAGAGCTATCCAAACTTTCATCCTCCATGCAGTAGATGCCAAAGGAATGCTTGTTGGCCCGGCCCCCAAGAAGAGGAAATTAAGACCTGGGGAAGGGATAGGACTTTGCCAGCAGCAAGACCGAAGCAAGGTGGCCCGCTTCTGTCTCTTCACCAGCCCCAGGACATTCCCCCAATCCTGACATTTGCCTCAGGAAGGGTGAAGGGACTTTGAGGGCCAAACTATCACCGGACAGAGGGGAAGAGAAGCGTCTCTGCCAAGTCCTCCCGCAGTGAAAGGGGCTGCGCTGTGGCTCCAGTTTGGGCCTCCCACCTCCCAGCCCAGCCCAGGCCACCTGGGGCTTTGTCTGCCTCAGCAGAGACAGAGAGAGAGCAGCCCAGGAGGGCTGGGAAAGGGCCAAAGCTGTCCAGCAGAAACTGGCCTGCATGTGTCAAGGTCACAAAATTCTCAAAATGGAAAGAAAAAGAGATCTCATCCCTTGCATAGCTCTGGGCCTAAGCAAGTAACAAAGAGAAACCAGTCAAGCTTGAGCACGTGACAACAAACCGCTTCTGTGTGCACAGACAGCAGGAAGGAGAGAGGGAAGGAAGTGGGAAAAACGAGGGTGTCCGACCCCTTGGGCTTCCCGGAGAGAGCACACCTCAGCCTCTCTGTCTCTCTCTCTCAAAGTTTTGTAATGGAGATGTGCTTTAGTTTCTTAATTTGTTATCAGAGATGGCTCTCATCCTGGTGATGCAGAAACAAAAGACAGCAACAAAAATTTATTCAAAAAATTTAAAAAGACATGGTCCCTGGCCTCATGGAGCTTCCAGTCCAGTGAGGGGCTAAGACCCCCAGACAGAAAAATCCTCCATGCAGAGAACGTGGGGCAGGTACAGGGGACAGCAGCAGCCTGGGCAGAAGGTCACTGCTGGGCCTTCTGTCCAAGAACGGGCATCGCATCCAGTGAAGCTTCACCACAGGAAATTCTGCAGCGCCAGGGACCAGCCCCAGGCCAGCTCCGACTAACGAGGGACTGAGAAGGAGGGAGGTGGAGGGCGGCAAGGGGAGATAAGGCTGCAAAGGTGGAAAGAGGCTGCGGAGAGCCTGGAATGCCAGACACTCAAGAGGCGATGAACGAGGAACCGCTGGGGAAGAGAGTACAAACCTGGTTAACAGGGAGCTGGCACTGCAGAGAAGTCAAGTGAAAGTAATCCAGCGCTGGCCGCCCTCAAAGGTGCGCCAAGTGCCAGGCCCCAGGGCTGCTGGAAAGCGCACAGACCCCTGCATTCCTGTGGGAGAGGCCCTGGTGCACTCATCACATCCATGGAGGCAGCAAAGTTGGGAGAGAGAGCTCTCGCCCCGGCTGACAGAATGAGGCCTCGACCCACTGAGGGCAGGCTAGGACGACAAGTCAAGCCTGAACAAGAGGGAAATGTAAGAAATGGAAGCCTTGGGCCCGTCTGGAGAATTCGGCACTGCTCAGGAGGAGGGCCCCAATGCCCAGAGGCCTGGGACCAGCTCTGGACAGCAGGGATGAGGGCCCCTCTAGGGGAAGGGCCACAGACACGATGGCCACCTCAGCACAGCGCCTTGGCCTCAGTTCAAAGTGGGCCAGAACTCAGGTCAGAGCAATCAATCAACAAGCATTTATTACCATATACTAGGCCCTGGGTCACAGAGAAAAAATGAAATCCACCCTGACCTCTAGCTTCTCTTCTGTCCGGGAAAAGATGTGCCTGCCAAGAGGCATCTAGGAAAACCAGACCCCCCAGGAAAGCACTATGGGGTAGGCATCGTGCGGAGGGGAACAGCAGGGAAGGTTTCCTGGAGGAGACACCATTGAAGCTGAGGCTTGGGAAGCTAGAGATACTGAGTGGGGGAGGGGCGGACTGAGGGGGGTGTGTGTGTGTGTGTGTGTATGTGTGAGAGAGAGAGAGAGAAGAGAGAGAGAGAGAGAGAGAGAGAGAGAGAGAGAGAGAGGAAGAGGAAGAGGGAGAGCACAAGCAGGAAAGCCAGGCCTCTGGAGCAGTCAGTGCTCTGCTTCAGGAGATGAAGGCCGGGAAATCTGCAGATCTGCAGGGCTCCCTCCTAAGTAAAGGCAGGAGAACGCCCCCACCCCCACGAGTCACCAGAGGCCAGTCAGCTCCACGGGGACAGCCATGGGGCTCCCCTCCAAAGGGGAAGCTCATGGAGGACTTCAATGAAGGACAGAGATTCCACAGAGGGTTGGCCTGCAACCCCCGCCCCCTGCCCTTGCCCCACTACAGGGGCCCTTCTGACTGGGGCAACCAAGGTCTGGGAAAGGGACTGGGTATGTTCAGTCAAGAGGAGGCTCCCACCTCTTCAAGAAGAACCCACACAACTAGGGAAAGTGGAGCGCTGGAGGTAAAGGCAGCAGGTGGGAGGTGGGGGGAGGGGAGGAGGAAAAGGAGAGGAGGATGAGAAGGGGGGGAGGAGAGGAGGAGAGAGAGGAAGTGGGAAGGGGGAGGGGAAGGAGAGCCAGGGAAGAGAAGGGTGAAGACAGGGAGGAGGGCACCCAGGCCCAGCCAAAGACAGAGATCCCAACTTGCTTTCTGTAAGCAGTGCTGAGAATGGCCAGACTCTCCAGGCCAGGGCCCCAGGAATCCTCGATACAAGATTCGGCTCGAGCGCCCCAGTCACCCCCTTCCCTACTTTGGGGTGCTGCCTCCTCTTCTGAGCCCTGGGGCCAGAACAGTCAGCCCTGTTCAGCACAACACCTTGGGTCAAGGCTCCCCCCCCAGGAGGCTGCCTCTGATGCAGGTATTGGGGTCACTCCAAGGAGAGGAGGCCCACGGCCCTTCTGGGGGTGGCACTAGGTCTGTGTCCTCCCTCCTGCCCTCCATCTGTCTGTGAACCAGAAACAACCAGACCCCGGGCTACTGAAGAGGGCAGGGATGAAGCCCGCTGGCTGACCAGATTAGGCTGGGCAAAAGTTCATCAGAGTGTTCTGATGAGGAAACTGAGGCACCCAGAGATAAAGGGACTGGCCCAGTGTAAGGCCAGATCTGACCCCCGGTCTGCCCTCCCGCCCATTGGCTCACCCACAGCTCCTCCAGCAAGCTGACCGCCTCCTCGCCGGTCTCGGGCCTGCGGCCCCGAACCCAGGCCTGGATCTCGGCCGGCAGGGCGCTCAGAAACTGCTCCAGCACCAGCAGCTCCAGCATCTGTTCCTTGGTGTGGATTTCGGGGCGCAGCCAGTCCCGGCACAGGGCCCGCAGCAGGCCCAGGGCTTCTCGAGGGCCTGGAGCATCCCCCAGGTGGAAGTGGCGAAAGCGGCACCACGGGGAGTCCGGGGCCAAGGCCTCCCCAGCGCGGGCTTCCTGCTTCACTGGGGGCCCCTGCGGGGGCAGCAGGGGGGGTGTTACCTCCATGGAGGGGCTGCCACTGCACTGGGCCCAGCAGCTGGAGCCTGGGGGAAGAGGCTGCCCGTTAGTGCCAGGCCCCCGGCTGGCTCAAAAACCTCTGCTTTTTACACTTGAGGAGACTGAGGCCCAAAGGTCACGTCTTTCCCCTAGACCTGAGCTCAGGCTCCCTTGCGCTGGAGGGGGGGGGTCCTCGGCTCCCTCCTTCCCCAGCTCTCCCTCTCATCGGCCTCCCAGCTTACGGTCCTGCCCCCAGCACTCTCTGAGGCAGCCCCTCCCCCACCGCTAGGGGTGTGAGCCTGAAAATCTCGGATCCAGATCAGAAAAGGGCTTGGACCCGGGCGCCCAACTCCCTCATATTACGGATAAGGAAACTGAGGCCCGGGTTCCCACAGCTAGTAAGTATGGGGCTAGAATTCGAACCCAAGTTCTCAATTTCCACCAAGCCTGGGGGGACAGTGTAGACGGAAAAAGAAGAGGGGAGAAGGGGGGTCAGGAGGGAACTGGGGGCTTCAAGGAAGATCAGAGGAGGAGCAGAGTGGTAGGGAGAAGAGCGGAGGGGGAGGGGCCATGGAAAGGGGGAGGGGCGGGAAAGGAGGAAGGGCAGGTGGAAGGGAGGGCAGTGAAGGGGGAGGGGCACAGGAGGGAACCGTGAGAGGCGGAGAAACTGGGGGAGAGAAAGGGGAGGACAGGGGGTGGGGGAGGGGCAGATGGAGGGGAGGGGGAGAGCGTGGGGCGGGGCAGGGGGGGAGGGGAGGAGGATCCGGGGTCCGAGAGGCGGGGGTCCCCTCCCTCGCCGCCCCGCCCCCTCCCTTTTGTCTCCCCCCACCCCCAGGTCGCTCACCGCGGGCACGTCTGTCCGTCCGCCCACTTCCCTCTGAGCCCGTGCCCGACTCGGTGTCGGGGCCCACGCCCGTGCCCGTGTCCGTGTCCGTGTCCACCGCTGGGCCCCCCGCCCGCCCGCGCGCCCCCGAAAGCCCCCCCCCCTCAACCTCCCGCACATGCGCACAAGCACACCGAGGACTCCATGTCCCGGCAGCCTTTGCGGCGCGGTGCGACCAGTTCCCCGCGATAACTACACTTCCCAAGAAGCCTCGCGCGGCAGCTCGACTCCCCATAGGCCTTCCTTAAGCGAGAGGCGGGGAACCGTGGAATGCGGAGGAGTACGCAGGCGCGCGACTCGGAGGCCGGGAAGCTGGTGAAGGGGTTAGAGCGCGCGCGCGCGCGCGGGGCCCGGGAGGAAGGGGCGGTTGCCGTGGAGACCGGAGTGGGAGGGAGGGCGGGGAGGAGGTGGCTCAGCCGGAAGCCGGGGCCCCGGGGTGATAGCGCGGTGGAGGAGAGGCGCGAGCGGGGCGGGGCCTGGCCCGGCTCTGGACTAATCCAGAGCAGCGGCGTTCGAAGTCCCAGCCAATTGGAGGCGTCGAGGGTGGTCGTCCTGACTACTACTCTTTATCTCCCCCACCCCCTCAGGTTGGGGGTGGTGGCGAAGAAGACCGAGGGGGAGGGGCGGGGAGCCCGGCAGGCCTCGCGACCGCGGGCCTGGTGTCACCCATCTTGCCGAGGGCTGGCGAGCAGGGGGCCGCAGGCTACTCGCTGACCGTGGCCTTCAAGGCCCCGCCCGTTCTGTCTCAGGCCCCTCTCCCACCTCCGCGCGCGCCGGGACTTTGGGTCTGAGCAGACCCGAGCCCGCCGATCTCTGCCGGGGTTAGAGCCCGAGGTCCTGGCCCACAAGGCCCTCTGACGGACTGGCCTGCACTCGGGACACGTGAGCGACGATTGGGGGCCCTTCCACGCGTTGTGCCTCAGTTTCCCCTTTTGTCAAATGCAGAGGTTGGACTAGGTTATCTCAGTTCTTCAGTCAACAAGCGTTTACTTAGCGCCTATTGCGTGCCAGCCATGTCCTGGATGCTGGGGATACAGAGAAAGACCAAAAAAAAAAAAAGCCAGGGAGGTCCCTGCCTCCCGAAGCCCCCATCCTGACAGAAATCACGTGATTCGTGTGGGGTGTGGAGAGGGCGTCTCGCCCACTGGGGGTGGGGAAGGGGATGGGGGTGAGGAATGGCAGGATTTAAACTGAGCCCTGAAGGAAGTCGGGAATGGAGAGGGCGAGGCCCCCCAGGCCCGAGGTGCTGAGAGGCAGGGAGGGCCAACAGGTCAGCTAGGCAGGAGGGAGGGGAGCCGGCTTCGGGGCTGGGGGCTGCAGAGGAAGCAGTGGCTAGCCCCGCATCGGTGCCATATGAGAAATGGGCATGCTTACTGTAGGGAGGGGTGAGGAGGGAGTGACACATGAGAGCCAGGTTTCATTATGTGCCAGGCCACCCCTAGGAGGAGGAGGAAGAGGGACTAGCTTTGTTCTCCACTCCTCTTCCTGGAGGCTCCCAGGCTATCATGGCTTAGCCGGGGGACTCGCCAGGGCCTTCTGTTTGGGGCAAGCTGGATGTTGGGATGGGATGGTGGTAGTATAGAGAGAGGTAGGCTGTGGAGATGGCACCTAGAGCTGGCAGCCACGACCTGGATGGGCTGACCAGGAGCTGGATAGAGCAGGCTGAGCCAGGGGAAGTGGAGAGGGGCAGGTGCCTGGGGGGTAGCTGGCAGGTAGAGGGAGGGCAGGCCACAATGGGTACACTGAGGCCTGAGCCTGGCCAGGACAAAGATAAGTCATGGAAACGTGGGGCTTGGGAGGGATGGCTCGGGGGCAGTGGATGCCCCTTCTGCTCCCCAGATAACTGTGAAGTGAGAGAGGAGGGAGCCCAGCTGGGGCCTTCCTTTTCACCTTAGGCAGTGGCTGCCTGCCCCCTCATCCTTTCCTTGGGGTTCTATGCCTTGTGGCCAAACCATCCCCCATCTTCTGGGCCCCATCCATTCCCAACTCCCCAGGAGCCCCAGAGCAAAGAGAACTCCCTTTTCCTCTTGGCCTCAGCCCCAGTGGAAGGAAACACTTCTCAGCAGTCAGCGCTAAACGGGACTCCTTTGTTGGGCGTGAGCTCCCTGTCACTGAAGGTTTTCAAGAGGTAATGCCCTTTGTCAGGAATTTAGGAGAGGTACAGTTCCCATGGAGCTCCCTTGAAGATTCTCCATCTCCATCCTTCTTGATGGAAACACCTTCCCAGGCCTTCTCTTTGCCTTTCTTTCTTGGCTTAAAGAAGGCCTTGCCCAGCTTGCAAATGGAGCCTCCGTCCCTTGCTGGTCATCACCCTCCTGACATGCCCTGAATTGATTTGAAATGAGGCAGAGCGGCACAGAGTCCTCCACCTCGATCTCCTCCAGAGTCATCAAGCGGCAGGACAGAAGTCAGAGGGACTGGCGATGGCCCGGACACAGGGGACGGTCTTGGCATCTTCAGTGTCTGACCAAACCCTGAGCGCTGCACAGCACCTGCTTCAGCCACCTTTGTGGCAGCTGGAACAGATTGTTCTCATCCACCCATTCTGTGGGGGAGGCCTAGACCCTCTCCTGACTCACTGACCCTTTGGAGACCGGAGGGTTACCCTCAACCTGGTTTAGCTGTCTTCGAGAGAGTGTGGCCAATGCATGTGCCACAGCTTCTTGGAGCCACAGGTGAGAGGTGGGTGGGGTCACACCACAGGTGGATGAGCAGACCTCCACCAGAGGTGGTGTCTTCCCGGATACCACCTCCACTGTCCCCAGCCAGCTGCTCAGAACAGGACTTGGCCTGCTTCCTATTTGGCAGCTACGTGATGTGGGACCTAGAAATAGGTAGGCCTGAGTTCAAGTCTTACCTCAGATACTAGCCATGTGACTCTGGGCATGTTACTTGACTCTTTCATGCCTCAGCTTCCCCATATATAAGAGGAAATGACTATAGCACTTCCTTCCCAGGGCTCTTATGCACTGCATGCCCTAGCTGCCTCCTGAATAAAGCCCATTTGGCTGGAAGAAGGCATGAGGGGAAGTAATTATGCCCTGTAGTACAACAGAACCAAGGCTGTGAAGATTTTTAAAAGGTAAATTGAGGCATCGGCTCCAGAGGCGAGAGGGAGCTATGGCAGCTTCTTGAGTAGGGTGGTGACACAGTCCACTTTGGAAGCACAATTATCTGTCGCAGGGTCCCTTCCCTCTCAGGCTTCCACCGGAGCCCAGCCATTCTCTGTCTTTTCTTGGTGCTGTTGCTGTCTGAGGAGTTTAGACCCCTAAGGATCAGGCCGGGGTGGTCTGGAATGAATTCATACACTCAAGCGTTCTTTGAGTCAAGGTGGCAAACATTTATTGTTATGCTATACAGAGATCCTTAAGGAATTCTGCCATGGTGGGCAGAGCTCCTTAGGGAACTTGCAACCTAATGGGAAAGATGCTAAAGCTTACATAGGAAAAGTAGTGAATTATGTGGCAAGTATACTAATTAGGTGATAGCATATAACTACTTCATTCACTACTGGAAAGGGGTGGGGGAAGAGAGGGTTCTTAAAGGGTATATTTGTGGTCTGTTACGTCAGTAACAAGATAGTTTCAGGAATTGACATCTATCTATAGCTTGACCTCTACATTATACACCATAACTGTGTGGGAATCAGTACAGGATAGATTTATTGATACAAGGTAGTACAAGGGAAATTCTACAGAAGTCAGCTTGTTCTTGTAACAGGGAGAGATAGTTTGCCTCACTGGGCCCACTCATGAGTCACTGCCAGAGAAAGGGTCCTTGGGCTGAAGGGATAGTGTTTCTGAGGGCAGGCAGAAATTGGGATCCAAGCACTGGCACCCAAGCACCCCATCAGTACCAAGAATGGGGCTTCTGAGCTCTTTTCTCCTAGTGCCGTGCCCCCCCACCCCAGTTCAAGGCTTCTACTTCTCCACATCCTCTTCTTCCTTTCTCTGCCCTGGAGGCCCAGCACAGTCCTTGGGCTCCTTTCTTTGAATGCTGTCAGTGCCCCAGCAGGGCACCCAGCTCCCTCTCAACTTCTATTCCACTCACCTTTGAACAAATATTTTTAAAAATTTATTAACTTATTTATTTTTAGTTTTCAACATTTGCTTTTATAACATTTTGAGTTCTAAATTTTCCTCCCCTCCCTCCACTTCCCCTTCCCCAAGATAGCAGGCAATCTGATATAGGCTATACATGTACATGTATATGAATTAAATATGAATATAAATGAATATAATATGAATTAAACATATTTTCACATTAGTCATGTTGTGAAAGAAAAATCAGAACAAAAGGGAAAAACCCTGAGAAAGAAAAAGCAAAAAAAAAAAATCAAAACAAAACCAAGAACAACAAACAAAAAAGAGAAAGTAGTATGCTTTGATCTGCATTCAGACTCCATAGTTCTTTCTCTGGTTGTGGACAGCATTTTCCATCATGAGTCTTTTGTAATTGTCTTAGATCGTTGCGTTGCTCAGAAGAGCTAATGAATAAATATTTCTTAAGAGACATTATATAAGAGACACAAGAGGGAGAGGTGGAGATGAGAGACAAAGAAAGGGGAAAACAAAACGGGGAGGGATGGGGGAGGGAGATAGAGGCAGATTCCTAAAGAACCTGACTGAGTGCGGGTGGGGTGGAGAAAGAGAGAGCACACAGGCATTCTCACTTTAGCAACTGAGTGGAGGATGGATTGGAGAGGGGAGAGGCTTTGAGGCAGGCCAGCCCCAAAGCAGCTATTGCAATAGACCAGGCATAAGGGGACTGAAGGCCTGCACTAGGGTGGGCTCAATGTCAGAGAAGAGAATGGGAGAACATTGCAGAGGTGAATCAACAAGAGTTGTTAAAGAGGTGAAATAGACAAGAAGTTTCAGAGATGAAATGCCAGGCCTTGGCACCATATAGGATCTGGGGGGTGAGAGAGAGTGGAGTCCAGGGTGACTCAAGTTGGGAGCTTGAAGGACCCAGAGGATGGTGGTGCCCTTGATCTGTAGTTATGAAGAAGGGGATTTGACCCAGCAATAGCACTTCTAGGGCTGTA